TTTTTTTTTTTTCTTTTTTTACAGGAAGTTGCTGAATTTGTGCACAAGGTTCATTTGCTTTGTTTACTGGGGAGGGGAAGGTTGATCGATAGTGCTTGCGATGATCCTCTTATTCAGGTTCATCGTCTTTATCCCAAAAATACTATAATATGGCTTGCAAATAGTAACTTTGAACACTGATCTGTTTAAAGTGTCAGGATGCTATGTGGTAGATGTATTATGTATAGGTATTTAGGGGAAGCGGACGATGAGGATTTATTTATATTTCAACCTTGACTGGCTTCATAAACATTCCTTCCGTCTCACAGTGTGGTCATTAATTTTGGATTGTAGTACTCTTTCTTTGATCTTTTATCGTGTCCTCTGACACATGAAAGGAGGCATGTGTTTTGAAGGTGGAAGCTTAAGATAGAAAATACATCCGGCTGCATAATTAAGTCCTTTGGCATTGACCATATTGTTCATCTTGCAACTTGTTTGTCATAGTAAGTGCAATCTTATTAGATAGAAGCACATTGAAAGAGGCCTTCCTACTATTGTGTTCTAATTGACTGACTTCGTCTTACGGTGTATCAACTCATATGCTTTATCCTCACCAGTAATGATCATATTGTTGGGATCACCTTTTACTAGTTTAGTGACCACAAGAGCTAAGAGGATAAACTCAAGAGACCAGTAAAAATATGTTCCGTAACTGATAACGGAAGTTGATTTTCACATAATGTTTGAGCTTTAAATGTCATATTAGTCATCACATCTGCAGTGGTACTGCCTTTGCAGCTTCTTACATTGATCAACACAAACTGTAGAATAGCCCATTTGGGCTTTAAAATCATATTCCGGATGTTCCTTGGATGCTGGAAATCAAAGCCGAGAGCTGGTTGACCGTATATTCTGTTTGCTGTACATACGATATGAACAAACATTTTTTGTCATATTTCTTGCCGTTTTGGATGGGACGTTGTTATGGTTCTAGCTTATATGCTTCTATGTACTTCTTGTGATGCTAAATTGTATTTGCTGAAATTGGACTTGGAAATGCTGATGGTTTTGTGAACATGCTTTATAGTATGGTCAGGTCTTCCACTGACTATAGCTCTTTCTTGGTTGTTTTCTATTAATTGTATAGAACTATCCTAATGAAGATACCTAATCATGCCAGGCTTCTTTACTTTCTCTCGTCCCGACGGACTTGCTCAAGATAACAGAGCTCCCAAATCTTACTGCTAATCATTTGTCCCCTCTTGTCAGTTGGGTATGAGAGCTAATAAATGTTAGTTTCTTTGTTTTGATGTTCAATTCTTAATTTTAAGTTTTGACATTTTTCTAAACGATAATTTTTTGCTTATGATCAGTTCCACAACAACTTCCATATTAGAAGTTCAAGTGTAGCTGAGGAATCATGTCATTTAGCATTGGCATCTGCTCTGGAAACTCGAGAGGGGCCACCTGAAATGGTACAATTTTACCCTTTATTGTAATAATATGTAATTTGTTCATTGGCTCTCAATTTCGAGAACTTTACACTGGCATTTGATTGGAATTGCATCAAGTTGAATTGGAGCAAGAGGAGGTATGTTCAGTAGTTGTTAGATTAACCAGTAATTTTATAAGGCAATACCTTCAAGCTTTAGAAAAAAGCGTCTCATAGATAGTAATCATAGTATTTCATAAATAATTAAAATGATTCTTTAATGGGAGCATCAATGAGTAGTGTTACAGTTGAATCTTACTGAAACAAGTTGATTGGGGGGCATGCGCAAGATCTGGCTGGAACGAGTTTTACAACTTATCTGGTTACTACTGTTTCTGGTGCTAATTCTTGAGTTCTATGGTACATGCCTTTTGATATTGGCCATGTGGACTGAAGAAGCAATTTTTTTAACACTTATACGGCTATATCCCATATGATTATACAGTAATTATGTAAGCAGGTATGACCTATTGCTTTCTAACTGTAGATTCTTCTTTTTCTTTTTCCAGGTTGCAGCACTCTCTGTGGCACTTTTTAGGGCTCTGAACCTGACAACTCGGTTTGACTTTCTTTTACTGACAATATTTGTTTGTTAATTTGGCACCTCTATTAATATGACCGGATGTATTTTGTTAGTAGTGTGCTAGTCTCCTAAGCATGTTTATGCCCTGTTGTTGTCTTGCTTGCAATTACGAATTGTTAATATGACCAGATGTGTTTTTTCATTAATTGTTTGCCTGCAAATATGATTTTTAACAAGCGAAGGGAAAAGAACAATTTTACTGGGAACCTGTGATCATTGTTTGGAAGCTTGTCTTTCGTAGTTGAGTGTTGTAGGATGAGGTTAGTTTTATAAGATACTAAGCTTATCATTGGTGCAATTTATAAGCAATTGTGGTAGATATTGTGCTATCCTTGACATGCAACATTTGGCTCCTCATTTTTTTTTTTTTTTTTTTTTTTTTTTTTTTTTTTTTTTTTTTTTTTTTTGGTCTCTAGTGACCAAAACTTGTTTCTAGATTAAATTTAGCTACATGCCCCGGTATATAGTCTGGACATGGTTATGCATATGACTTAGGAATGGTCTTGTTAATCACTCTCAAAATTCTTGATTTTTCAGGTTTGTTTCAATTTTGGATGTGATTTCCTTGAAGCCTGATGCTGATAAATTGGAATTGAACGGACTAAATGGGTGCAAGAGCAAAAGAGATATATTTAGTTCATCAACTCTGATGGTTGCTGGAAAATCTGCTTACAGTGTGAAATCATCACCAGATTTTGAGCAGGGCAGCAATGAACCTTCTATAAAAGGTCCTGGCAGGGTGAAAGATAAAAAATCAAGAAAACAAGAGCCGCAAACATGTGATATTCTTACTACTGATAAGACAAAAGAACAAATAACAGATGTGTTGGTGTCTGAGGCCCCAATTAATACTTCTGAATCATGCATTGTGAAATCTGATGGATTGAAGAGGAAAGGAGATATTGAATTTCAGATGCAGTTGGAAATGGCTCTTGCTGCCACAGCCGGTGTGAATCCTGGCGCTAATGTGACATTTAATGCATCAGACTCTCCCAGTACTTCAAGTCTAACTCCACCTTCTAAAAGGCTAAAGAAGATTAGACAAGAAGAATCACATGGGTGCTCAACTGGAATATCAACAGCTATTGGATCAAAAAAAGTGGGTGCCCCACTTTATTGGGCGGAGGTGTTTTGTGGAGACAACTTGACTGGAAAATGGGTGCATGTAGATGCTGTTAATGCAATTGTAGATGGAGAAAATAAAGTAGAAGCTGCAGCCGCTGCATGCAGAAAATCTTTGAGATACGTTGTTGCTTTTGCTGGAAATGGGGCTAAGGATGTGACACGCAGGTTTGAATCTTTCGTGTATTTGTAATTGTTTCCTAGGAAAGGAGTCATTGATTGCTTCCCTTATGTATTCTTTTGGTGAGTTATCTTGTATCTGTTGACCATGTGCACTAATTAACTTTTGGCTCTGTATTCAATCAAGTTTTGGTAAACATATTCTTATACATGGATTTATGCTTAATACTTGTTGTAGTGATAACATTCTTGGCCAAGTTCTTCATTGACTATTCTCATCTCTTTTTTGTTGTGTTGGTCATCCCCTTGTCTCCTCCAGGCACACACCGATATGTACCATCCTCTTTCCCCTAACTGTTACAGTGTTGAAAGTGGAATAAGAATTAGTACAATACATAGATAGGAATATACAAGTATAACAACTTAACTTGGCCCCACTTAACTGTGCCAGCATAGCCTATGATGCAGCTTCAACTGAAACAAGCACATGGGTTTATTAAGTTAATGCTGAGTAGGGATAGATGAAAAGTACAAGCCACCAAACTTGCTGATAGCTGAGATACATTCATCACTAACCAGACTAATTGTGAAAAAAGGACCCAGAAAAGATGATACTTACGAGTTTTTGTATCCAATAGTACCTTCTTGCATTGTAACCCATACCTGCTTCCATAAGTTTTGGTGATTTCATATATGCAGCTGTTGCTCCATTCAGATATGTATTTGACACATACTGATGAACTTCTTATATTCTCTTGCTCAAGTCTTCATATGGAGGGGTATTAACATTCTTGAGAGTATCATCTCAGATATTGCACAAAATGGTACAAGGTAGCAGCACAACGGGTCGATTCCACCTGGTGGGATACAGTTTTGCGACCATTGATGGAGTTGGAATCGCGAGCTACTGGCGGCAATGTCAATGTGAAATGTGAAGCTTTAAAACGCGAGAAAATAGAGGTGTCCCAAGTGGAGTCCCTCGCAAGAAACTCTTTTGCTCCTACCCGGAGTTCCCTTGAAGATATGGAACTAGAAACTAGAGCGCTGACGGAACCTCTTCCTACTAATCAACAAGTATGACAGTTTTTCTATTTCAGTAGTATTCCAAGTGGTTTATATACATTTATTAGGAAGTTGACATTCTGTGTTTTACATTTGTTTCTTTTACTCTACTTTTGGGAATATTTAGGCGTATAGGGGTCATCACTTGTATGTGATTGAAAGATGGTTAAAGAAGTATGAAATTCTCTACCCCAAGGGCCCGGTGTTGGGGTTTTGCAGTGGGCATGCTGTATACCCACGCACATGTGTTCAAACACTTCATACTAAGGAAAGGTGGCTGCGTGAAGGGTTGCAAGTGAAAGCTGGTGAAGTCCCTGTGAAGGTTTGATATTCTGCATAAATCTTTTAGGTTGAAAATGTTTCTCAGATTAAACAGCTTTCAAGTGCATATAAAATCTTCATACTGTTCCGAGTAGGTGCTTAAGCGCTCCTCGAAGGATAATAAAGAAGATATTGTGGATGATAACGACTTCAGTGAGGGTGATCATCAAGGGATTACAAACCTTTACGTGAAGTGGCAGACAGAACCACTGTGCCTTCCTCTAGCTATCAATGGGATTGTACCTAAGGTAGATCCGTTCATAGCTCATACTAGATCCAGATAAGTTAGATGCCTATATGAAGAGATGAAACTTTTGCTGATTTTGTTTTCCTTTCGTGAAATGGACTGAGAGAGTTGAATTAAAATCTTCATGGAATGGCTTCTACATGCTTGCTCATTTAAGTGTGTATGTGTCTTTATTTTTCATTTGATATATAACTCCACAAAGAGGTTGTGATCAATAAAATACATAGCACATTTATGCTGAATTTTGAGAAAGTAATAGATTAATATGGCCTGCAATATTGCTAGTAGTATTTGACCCAACAGAGGTAACGGAAAAGAGGAAAGGAAAAAAATATTTATGGTTGACCCTTTACAAAAAAAAGGTCGGCAAGTGAGCTGATTTTGGAGCTTGTGCCATTTTAGTGGGCAAGTAAGCTGATTTTGGAGTTTGTGTCATTTTAGTAGTATCTTCTGTTTTTATTATTTAAATTATTTCTAAAATCTGATCTCAATGGCCGTTTCTCTGAAAGCTGCCGTGCTGCATTATGTATTTTGGAGATTCTAAATTCTTTGTTGTAGTACCTAATTCTGAGACACCCTTTTTACCAGCTATATGTGCCATGCCATACAATGCATCTAGCTTTATTGGAGACTGATCTCAAAACTTTTAATTTATAGAATGAACGTGGTCGAGTGGATGTGTGGTCTGAGAAGTGCCTTCCTCCAGGTACGGTCCACTTGCCCTTGCCAAGGGTGGCTGCTGTTGCAAAAAGACTGGACATTGATTTCGCCCCTGCTATGGTCGGGTTTGAGTTTAGAAACGGTCGGTCTGTGCCTTCGTTTGAGGGTATAGTAGTCTGCTCTGAGTTTAAGGATGCTATTGTAGAGGTGAGTTCATGTAATATTCAACCAGCTACTTGATTGTCATCATTGCATTTGTTTCTACAAATAAAGTCAGAAGCTATCTCGTAATTAACAAATTCTACTTTCAAAATCTCGACTGTATTTAGCCCACATTGACCTCAATGTATACTGTTCATGGACCAAGAAAGTTTAAGTCATGTATGGAATTATTTCCTTCCATTTTCCCAATTCCTAGTGTTGAATTAGAAATTCGGGAATTACCATGTTTCATGTGAGAAATGAACATAGGTACGTTGCATTTTCATATTTTAATGTGAAAATGTGCTGAAGTACTATCCCAAACAGATTCCTCTGTTGTGGTTGAGGATTTGTTTGGTTATAACAGGTAAAAATGTGTTTTCATGTGAATTTGCATCATGGTCATGAAGATTTGTTGAGTTTCATGAATCCTGTTTGCATTAGTAAGAGAAAAATACTCACTAAACATGCTCATTTACATTTTCCCAGTACAATTTAGAATTTCATGCGACGCCCTGACTTTCCTATTGGAATATCTCTTGATCCTACAAACTCAAGCCATTTATTACTTAATTGCTTGATAAGCAAATTTGCGTCTTCAACTAAGTGCGAACTTGACTGTGTGATTGTTTGTTTTCAATTCAAGCCATGTGTTAAAATGCAATGCATCTAGCTTTATTAGTTAAATTTCTTGGCATTGTCAATGTTACTCAAAAAATTTGGCTGAAAATTATGCTTGTCAGGCATATTTCGAAGAAGAAGAGAAAAGAGAAGCTGAGGAGAAGAGGAAAAACGAGACACAGGCGCTCTCAAGGTGGTATCAGCTTCTTTCGTCCATCGTTACTCGACAGAGATTGAACGAAAGCTATGCAAATGAGTCCTCAACGCAATCTTGCTTAGAGATTTCAAGAAATTCGGGCAATGAATGCCTCGACTCACCTGGAGAAAGCCAACAAGTGAACACTAAACCCAACAAATGTGACGGGCTCCCAGAGGTTGTGCCCTCAGAAACCCACGAGCATGTATTTATATTGGATGATGAGTTCGGCGAAGGTGGCTCGACCCGGGTAAAGAGGTGCCAATGTGGATTCTCGATACAATTCGAGGAATTATAGTTACATATTTCTGGTTTTAAACTATTTAGAACATGACTTGATGGTGAACATCATGTTTCATTTGTGTTGTTGCAAGTCAAACATGTGCATGTGTTGCAGTTCTGGAAATGTAGCAACTCCAACGTGCCGATGTGGATGTAATCGGTTTGTATCCTGAAGGGATTTATATTATTATATGTAATCACTTTTCTGGAAAATGGTTTAAAAAGTGTTGAATTTATTTGTTTACATTCTGAACTCAAGCTCCAATGAAGCTTTACATATGTATGGGGACAAAATTTTCTCAGCACATTTCAAAAAAAAAATTGAATTCCCCAAAAGAATATGAAAAAAAACCCTACTAGACTGCATGATACTCAAGTCATGAGTCTCATGACCAAATCATTTGCAACACATTTTTTCACTGTACTATCCTTTTCAAAGTTAGCAACTGCCAACTCTGGGACCATTTTAGAGCTTGGACCCTGTCCACAAGCTAACCACACAAACTAACAATACCATTCAACGATTAAAGCGCGAATTTCAAACTTTTTGTCATAAGTCTAATGTCTACTAAGGATAAGAACAAAAATGGCACCTCTACTATAGACACTCCACTGCCGACTTTTAGCGTAGCTGCCTGCTATTCGGATTCCATGTTGGGCCCAAGAGCTTCGGCAACCAAATGAGAATGTTGGTTATCGGCTCAACACTTTCATATTAGATACAACAGTCACCACAGCAAACATTTGATTATTCAGATTGCACTATATATAAAATCACTATTTAACACTACTATTTATATCTATTAACAAAGCTACACCTACAGATTGGCAGCTTTCGGCTATTCCATCTGCATGAAATAAGCAAATAGTTGAGTGTATCAACCTACAGTTAACTACGCAAAGCGATGATGAGCTATTTTTTTGTTACTACACAAACAAACCATATCATTTTCACAACACTGGACAAGAAAGGGCACACTAAGTACACACAACATGAGAACAACAAAAGTCAACCCCATGAATAACACTAGATAACACATGTTAGGTCATGACATAAAGCAGCAGTAGACAAGTACCTCCAAATTTACAGCATGCTGGCCAAACTACACTACACACAAACACCACAAATTATAAAACAGCAATAGAAAGAACACCATTCAATGAAAAACACCCTACTGAAACACACATAAAACAACTTAAGTCAAACAGCCAGCAGCCAACACAAGTCACATTGACTTTCCTACCCCACATCCCGAACCATCTCATCAGGCATCAGATCCATTCTGGAAAGGCTGCGGGTTGACCTTCCTGGGCCTTCCCCTGGGCCTCCCAGTCTTGGACATGCTCGGTGGGCCAGATGGAGGCTTCGGCTTCTTTGGGGCTGGGGGTGCATTTGGATCCTTCTTCGGGCGACCCCGGGGCCTAGATGGCGGAAGGATGGTGTCTGGGGGTAGAGACTCCTTGGGCTTTGGGGGGCGGCCTCGCCCACGCTTCAAGGGGGCATCCGGGCTAGGTTTGAGGTAGTTGTTCTTGATGAAAAGGAGTTCACCAATGTCCTTCATCCTGTTCAAATGGTGTGACAGCAAATCCGAGTGGCGGGGGGGCATCTCGCCATACTTGGACTCCATGTATTTGGAAATCGATGACTTGTTGGCACCCTCGGCTTGTTTCAGTGCATCTAATGCTTCCATGATCATCTGGGGACCAAAAAAACAACTCGAATAAAGTGAAAAGGTAGATATTTTTTTCTTTTTTTTTTTCCTTAAGCACAATTGAGCTTCTTTTGAAATTCAATTTTCTAGGAAGTACAGCTGATAAGGACGAGAAAAGATTCAAAGGGGTTGGAAAATGGACATTTTTTTTCCCTCTCCATTAACATTGTTGAAAAGGCAACTGAAATCATTTGCCTAATACATAAATTTTGGTCACAATCATATTTGCTTGCCAAAAAAAGTAAAATTTTCGCAAAGGGCAATCAAGAAAATGAGGGTATCATATAGACTGAGGAAAAGGGTTTCTTCACAGATGCGAACAGTCTACCCATTATCGTAAATTAAAGAAACTAAAAAAAAAAATCAAGCCCTAATTCCAAACAGGAAAGCGAAAAAGAAAAACAAAAAAGAAAGAAACTTTAACCCAGGAAAACATTTAGGACAAAAACAACGGGCTGATTGAACAACAGAATGTGAAAAATTGAAATTAGGAGTATACGACAATGGCAAAGAAACGTATTTGGGTAATTTAACCTGCGGATACGGAGGGAGTGAATGAGGTCGGTTATACTCTTCGGTCGCCATTGAAGCTGGCAGCCCACCTGTAAGATTATTAGAGAGAGAAAAGAGACAAATGCAACGGATAGAGATAAACAAAACACGAGGAGAAAGAAGTCATGGGCCTATGGTCTTGAGTCTAGTCTTTGGTCGTGTCAATAAACTCAAAGCTTCGATGACATGGACAAAATTATATAAAATTAGCAAAATCCACGAGACTAAATTTTTAGGATCTAAAATAGACAAGGGTAGATCGAGTCTTTTTTTCTACTGTCACGTCAACATGACTCAATCTAATTTTATTTGCATTGAAAAATATATTTTTTAAACTGTGTCTATTTTTTAGGTGACATGTAATTTTTTTGTGATTGAACCCAAAATATTGTGGATGCTCCTAAAACATCACATAGTGGAAAACTTAAAAAAATAAAAATAAAAAGTACATTCAATTGTGACTTTTTAATACTTTAAAAATTGGAGTGTATTTAGTTTATATTTTTTTTAGACTTTTTAAAAATTTTAAAATTCTGGGGTATTCAATTGAGATTTTAAAAAATCTTACAAAAAGTTGTGGTATTTAATTTATTTAACACTAGGATATGTTAAGCCTTTTTAAGATTTGGTGGAATTTTTAAACAAAAAACCTTATATGAAATCTCACTCCAAATCATAGCTCCACAATTAAGATTTCATCATTTCACATAATTCCTCCAAAATCTAAAAATCTTAAAAAGTCTCAAGTGATAAAAAACTTTAAAATGTCACTTAAAATCCCAATTGAATACACCCCTATATTTTTCACACGAGACTAGACATGGCCACGAGACAAACAAGCGCACCAATCGGTCAGATTAGGAATTGGCCTGTCCGGTTTAGAATCATCAAATTAAATTTATGTGAACCGTCGGTTTCGGTTCAGGGTCAGCCTTGAAGCCCATTAGAATTTCTTTTTATTATTTTACAAAATTTTAATTTTTTTATTTAATTTTGGTTCTAAGTCGGGCAGGGTTGGGCCTAGTATCGAACCCACTAGAAGATTAAATCTGGATGTTGGATCTTTTAGACTGTTGGAGAACGAACCAACTATTTAACTTATTGAAAACAATTTCAAGTTAGAATCCATTTCCGAGTCCAAACCGGCCTACCCAAACCCGCAAACGGTCAGAATTTTGAATTTGACCTTTGAGATATTACTACCATAATCGTTTTGAACCGTTGGGCCGACCCATAACCGGCGGTTCAATAATAAATAAAAATATCCAAAAAATCTATAAATACTTAGGTTTTGAAACCGGACATGTCATCGAGCAGTTCAAGCTTTTGGTTAAATTGTTCACTGGTCTGACAAGTGCTTGAGTCGGTTGGGGTCCGACTGAAAATCATTAGAATTTAGATGCAAATTTGGAAGGGTCCGATTGAAATCATCAGAATCGGGGGATGAATGGTGCTTTTGAACTTCTGTGGTGATTCGTCCACACCGCTAGTCGGTTTTTTTTTCGGATGTATGTCTTCCCCAATTTTTTGTTCTTCTATCAATGCTTCCCCAATTTTTCCCGTTTTCCCCAAATTTTCTTGCCCTAAGGATGTATCTCTTCTCTTTTCTTGTTCTTATTTCGAGAT